CCTGGGAAAGTACAGGATGACCCAAAGCCTTAGTAGCCTGCACCCTCATGAGAGACCCAGAAGAATTCCTGGCTCCTGGCTTCAGACTGGCTCAGCTCTGGCCATTGCAGCCACTTGGAGAGTGAACCAGCAGATGGAAGATCTTTCTCTCTGTTTCCCTTCTCTCTGCAAATCTGCCATTGAGATAAAAATAAAATAAATCAAATAAATCTTTTTTTTTAATTCCTCGTGTAAACTTTGTTTCCTAGCTCCACCTTGCCAGCCTAGTTTCATGTTATTCCATTCCCACCCCCTTCCTTCCTGTAAAATGGATCCACTCAACCATCTTCACAGAGAGTCCCACTGAAATGCCAATGACAATCACCCTCTTCTTCCCTGCAGCCACCTAGGAGAAAAGGAAGTGCAAGGTAATGTGACTGAAGGACTCTGGGGCACACACCCCAGTTGTAAGGATGTCCAGGCCAGGACCAAGGGAGAGGGTGGTGTGGGCTTTGGATGAATGTTGGGACTTTTGCATCCCCATGAAAAGGAATAGAAAGAGGTCTCTGCTTGAATATCAATGAAAAGCACAGACCTCCTTCAGTTCCTCAATCCCACTCAGGGCACTGTCTTCTGTCCCTTCCCTGGAGGCCACCACAGACCTATAAGGACAGACTCCAGGTCAGCCATAAGTTGGGAAGCAGAAGCCTATGGTTTATTGAGAAAAGTCATAATGAGAGAAGGGCAAACCATCATTGAAGGAGCACCTCCTGACTATTGGTAACCACTCCAGAATTTTAAGAAAAATCAAGTTGTTATGTTATGTTATGTACTAGTTAGGCAACATAAACTGTGTGAAGTGGGTCAAGTAAAAGGCAGTAAAGATTGATGAAGACCAAGGGAAATTGGATGCAATCTCTTTTTGAAGGCATTCAAATGCAATTTCTAAAAAAACACTACTTGGATAAACACAGCCCTCACAGGCTTACCTGGCTCACCTGTCACCTCCTGCAATGAGGTAGGTATAAAGAGGTTTCTGTCCTAGACCTTTCATTAGCTGGTTAAAGGAAACCTGTTACGGGGCAGAGGACATGGAGAGGTGAGATCATGAAGACACAGCCGTCTTAGATGTTCCGCTTCTACAAGGCATAAGTTGCCTCCTGACTATCATAAGCCAGTACTTAACTCAGTCCTACCTGGAATCCAGCACATAGAAATGCTCTTTGGAGATGATTAATTGGGGGTGCATGAGATTTAGAGAATTAGCAATAGACAAGAAATGAGCCTCCTCAGTGAGATGTAGATTTTGGAAGAGAAAGAGAAAGAGAAGAGTGATGAATGGAGTCCTAGTCTACAGAGGGGTACCCCAGGACTCTAGCTATGATCAGCTTTGTGGGCCTCATGAAGTCACCCTCAGAAGGAAGAGGTAGGAAAGGCAGGCATTGCAGGGCTCGCCGACATGAGGAACGCCATTCTGCCAGAGGTGCCTCCTCCGCTCTGCACCACCAGCCCTCCATCTGGCTCCTAAGGAAGGAACAATCACTTGGTCACCAAAACCCAGGTCAGGATGGTGTGGAAAGGAATGAATTCAGTAATGGAAGGGGAATCGGAGGACCTGCTAATCCTTCTGCAAAACTGAACAGAACACAGGCAGCTGGGGTAGCTCAAAGAACGTTCAGCTGGAGAGAGAAACCTCAGTTTGACATGTCTACTACTTACGGTCTTATTAACCCAGAAAGCTTGTCATCTGAATAAATAAACAGTGAAGACAGCGTCATCTACCAATAAATAGCTGGCTGTATTTGCTCAAGCTACTGTGATTATGCTTTGTAAGTTTTGTTTTCTTATTTAAAAAAATGGAAACAATAACACCAAATTTGCAGATTTGGGGAGTGTAACGGACATGAAAGCACTTGTTAATTTTAATGTCATGTAGATAATAATTACTATTATATTATTGATTAAGAAGATGACTGTGAATCTGACTTTCAAATAAAAATAAATTCAGCTCTTTTTAAAAATGGGGCTGACACAGTGATGTAGCAAATTAATCCCCCATCTGCAAGTGCCAGCATCTTGTGTAGGCACTGATTCATGTCCTGGCTGCTTCACTTCAAATCCAGCTCCCTTCTTATGGCCTGGGAAGGCAATGAGCGATGGTTCAAGTCCTTCAGCCCCGGCATTCACGTGGGAGACTCAGAGGAAATTCCTGGTTCTCAGCTTCAGATAGGCTCAGCTCTGGCCATTGCAGCCATTTAGGGAGTGAACCACTGGATGGAAGATTCTCTCTCTGTAAATTTCCCTTTCAAGTAAAAATAAATAAATCTTTAAAAAAAAAAAATAATGACAGCAGGGACCCAAAAGAGAGGACTGGGAGAGGAGGGACAATTAAGATCTATAAAAGTAAGACATAGAGACCCCCAACCCAGAAAGAGAAAGTTAAATAAGCAAACTGAAAAGTTTAGGCGGGGAGTAGATGAAGGGTCAGTACCTTCAGCACTTCCTGAACTTTCCCAGCCACTTGGACCATGGTGGTCAGAATGGATTCGCTGTATAGCCGCTGTGGGGAAGTAGTCAGAGGTTAAGGGAAGAAGGACAGCTGTTGGGGGCTGGCAGTGGGGAGGACTTTCAGGGTTTCCAGTATTAAGAGCAACGGTATGGGAGGACAGAGGTTGAGGTCGGTTAGGAATGATGTCTTTATTGGCCTTTTCTAGGGGATAAGCCTGGGTCACCTGGTATGTGAGTACAATTTGCCCCTCCTCCTGGAAGATCTCAGCATCACATTGGCCCAGCAACTGAACAATTTGCTCTGCATTAGCTTTGTCCAAGTCCCGGGAAGTGGGTTTGACTTCTCCATGATTGGCACAGAAGCCTCATATCCTGACAACTAGAAGAAAGGGGACGTGAGTCCGGAGGCTGGAACTCTAATCCTCATTCACACTTACTGAACAGGAGGTGAGAGAGGCAGCACACGCACGCACACCTCAGGGCCTTAGCCAGCAGCTGTTCTCTGCATTCTTCTGGGAAAAAAGAAGACCATAAAGGAGGAGAGGAGGAGAAGAGGAATTGAGCAGGAACCCAGGGTAGAGGAAAGCATCAGTGAAAAATGGTTCCAGGAATCGGGCGGAAGGCTACCTTGGAGAAGTGGTCTCACCTCCCACTCTCTAGGCTCCGGGATCTCAATCATGTGTTGAAAGCACTTTGTGCCTGGCATGGTGCTGTTTTGTGTGCACACTGTTAGGCCCCACAAACCCCACTGGTGGCAATGACTGCTAGCAACTGGCAGAGCCTTATCTAAAAGCTACAGCGACGATTAACCCAGAAACTCCGAGCACCACCCCCTCCCTGCACCTCTGCCGATTCCCCTACCCCTTTCCTAGTCACTAGGTGCCCCCAGGGCTGTCCTTCACCAGCCCGCCTTGGCTGTGGCTCCTGAAGTTTCCCTGCTCCTGCCATTCAGGCACAAAGACCTCCTCTCTGCAGGGCCTGGAGCCTGGGAGTACAAGACAACCCGCAGGTCAAGAGGGAATGCCATGGGCAAAAGCAGGCTCAGAGCAGGCTGGCTGGGGAAGCCAGAGGTCAGTGGCCTGGGCGCAGCGGGAGTCAGAGGACCCAGGTCACAGCTTGATCACATGCCCATCGCCTATATTCCTGCCCTGGCCCATTTTCCCCTGTCTTCACAGGGAGGAAGGTCCCTGTGTACACACACTGAACTGGATCTTACAGAGAAAAAGAGCCGCAGGAATAGAAATACTGCAGTGAGATTCAGGAACCAAAGCATCTGCCCTAAATACGACCTGCAGTCAGCCTTCACTAACCACGGCACGACACACTTTTCACCCATAAGCCTCTTGGAACTCCAAGAAGTGCACCCTGACACCCTCATACACCCCGCCCCTCAGCTGATGACATTGGGGCTGGGAAAAGTGAAATTGATTGCTGAAGATCACACAGCCAGCAGGTTGGGGATCCACCCTGGTGTCCGTTCTTCCCAGCTTGAACGCAAAGCCAAAGCTGGATATAACTTAAGGACTGGCGTGTCTGAGTGGGCCATGTAGGTATAGGTTATCCTAATCAACCACCCACAGAGTGCTGCCAGATCTGGAAGGATCCTCACCCCAGCCTGGCGGGCTTTCCTTCGCTCTGCTTCACAGGTGGGAAAACCTGAGGCCCAGATTAATTTCTTCAAAAATCACTCCGGAAGCATCAGTGCTTTAAAAATGCCAGAGGTCTTTGCCCCCATAACTCGTTCTCGAAAGCCAGCCCTCTTCAATAATCATTGTCCTCAGTACTTGAGATAATACCAGACTCATAGGAGACACTGGATCGATATTTGTGGAATAAAGAATGAATGAGGAGGCGATCGGAATCCAACCAGGTTATGAATGGGAGAGACACTTTAAAAGCTGACGCAGTCTGCAAGTAAGAGACGATGACAACACGCCTCATCTGCATCCCTCTGCCCTCCCGCGCCAGCAGCGCACTCCCCCGCACCCACTCACCCACCCACCCATCCACCATCCCAGGGCCGGAGACCCTGGCCATCGCGTGTCTCCCCGCGCCCACCGCCGGCTCCCGGCTGAACCAGGCGAGGCAGCGTGCTGGGCTCCAGAGGCCGCCATGGCGAGGGGTCGTGGGAGGAGCCCCGAGAGATCCGGGTGGGGGGCGGGGGATGACGGCGGCGAGAGCCCCAGCGGGGCGGGGCGGGCCCGAGCGTCCCGGCCGGGCTGCGGCGGAGCGAGCCGGGCCAGCTCTGCAGAAGGCGGCGGCTGGCTCGCCTGGACGGTCACATCCCGCTGCAGGGGCCGACGGGGGCAGCCGCACAGCCTGGCGCCCGGGGTCCCAAGACACTCCGGCAACGCCCCTCCCGACCCCCGCTCTCGGGGGGCCAGGCTGCGCCGCTAGTCCAAGCTCCGGGTTGGTGAAGGGGGCAGCTCCGCAGCCCCGCGCCGGTGCCTGCGCTGCCTCTGCCCCCTGCCCGCCACTCGGTCCCGCGCTTGCCCGCCTTGCCGGGCCCGCGCCGGGATGGGGTAGGGGGCAGCGCCAGAGTGGAGCGATGGGCCGCCCTCTAGGCACCGAGCAGCCCCCCGAGGCCTGACCCACCGCGAGGACCCGAGCAGGTGGGTGTGGGCAGGGAGGACCGCCTGCCGGGTGGGCTCCAGGCTGATGCGGGGGCGAGGAAGGAGCGGAGTGGAGAGGGGGAATCCAGGGCGCGGGAAAACGAGAGGTGGTGGGCCGCTGGGGACTTCCTCACCGCCACGGGACGGCAGCTGCCCACCGTGCGCGTGTATTCCGGACAGCCCCTGATCCTCACACAACTCCGACCCCCGCAGGACCCCGCCTGGATGTCAAGCAGATACCCCCGTGCCCCGCAGCGGACGCGGCGGGGACAATGGCTTCGCTGATGCCCCTCTCCCCATACCTAAGCCCCACGGTCCTTTTGCTGGTCAGCTGTGACCTGGGCTTTGTGAGAGCCGGTAAGTAGAGACGAGAGGTGGGATGGTCGGGGAGGGGGGCGCGGCCAAGCAGAACTGGACTGTCCGGGCGGGGGGGGGGGGAACCTGTTAACCTGGGCACACCCTGGCACCCCCTCCAGACCGGCCCCCCTCTCCTGTCAATGTGACCGTCACTCACCTCAGAGCCAACTCAGCCACTGTGTCCTGGGACGTCCCAGAAGGCAACATCGTCATTGGCTATTCCATTTCCCAGCAAGTATGAATCACCCCTCTGGGACCCCAACATGTGTCCTTGGTCCCTGGCTTTCTGAACATGATTTCTGTTACTTCCCACCCCTCCCCCACCAAACTCTCCTTCCTCCCATGGGTGGGGAGCCTGGGAACTGCCCTTTGGGTGTTCTAGAGTTTGGGCTCCAGCTCTTGTGGGCTGGGATGAGGCTGTCTTCATCTCTCTGCAGCGGCAGAATGGCCCCGGGCAGCGTGTGATCAGAGAGGTGAACACCACCACGCGCGCCTGTGCCCTCTGGGGCCTGGCTGAGGACAGCGACTACACCGTGCAAGTCAGGAGCATCGGCCTTCGAGGAGAGAGCCCTCCAGGGCCCCGGGTGCACTTCCGAACCCTCAAGGGCTCTGACCGGCTGCCCTCAAACAACTCCAGCCCAGGTGAGGAGGAGTGGAGCTATTTAGAGCTCTGGCTTTGATGGGGCTCCATCACCTCATACTTGATTCCCCTAGACAAGCAACAGATTAGCCTGGTGAATAGCAGGATGATTTCATTTATTGCGCTGGCAGGAAAGGAAGGAAAAGGGGGTGGCATGGGGACTGGGGATAGCCAGGCTGGTAAGAAATTGTTTGAGAGAAGCACTTCTCAGCTGCTTATTATCCAACCCTATTTTACATGCCTGAGCCAACACCTGACCCGCAGCTCTCCTGACTTCATGTTTCCAGCCACCTGTCCTCCCCAGTGGCTCGCTCCCAAAGATGAGCTGCCCCTGCAGTAATGTCAGAGGCAATAACAGATGGGTCTAAGTTGGTCTTTTCCCCTAGCTCCTCCATCCTGCTGGTGACATAGCTCTGAAGCTGGCTCAGTCAGTCATCTGGAGTGTGTCTCTGCCTTTCTCAGGTGATATCACGGTGGAGGGGCTAGATGGAGAGCGACCCCTGCAGACGGGCGAAGTGGTCATCATTGTGGTGGTATTGCTCATGTGGGCTGGTGAGTAAACAACTGGGGATGGGGAGGGACAGGGTGGGAATGAAAGAGCAAAACTCAGGCAAGGTAGGAGGCATCAAAGGAAATGAAAGGGATAGGAGAGAGGAGCTCCTTATCGGAGTTATCGGAGGGCGGTGATCAGGAGAAGCTGGACGAGAATGAGAGGCAGCTGCTGCTAGCCATGAGTGCGTGGACGCCATGACTTCAAAGCATTTCCTCCTTGCATCTTCTATAAGCTGTTCATGGGCACCTCACTACTTGGCTGGGCCATGAGTGAGGAGGTCATGATCGAGGCTCAGAGCGTGTCGTTGTGTTTCAGCGGTGATCGGGCTGTTCTGCCGTCAGTATGACATCATCAAGGACAACGACTCCAACAACAACCCCAAGGACAAGGGGAAGGGGCCAGAACACAGTCCTCAGGGAAGGCCAGTGGGAACAAGACAGGTGATGTGGGGGCCGATGAGGGTGGAAAAGGTGGTTTTATCCCAGAGGAGCAGCCAGGGAAAGAGGGATAGGAAAAGCAGAACAGAAAGTCAGGGAAGGAGGAGTCTGCAGAGAATTGGGAGGGCTCATGACCTTCATGAAATTAGACACTCAGGCCATTTTCTTTCACAGAAAAAGTCGCCATCCATCAACACCATAGACGTCTGAATGGAGCAGCAAAACTGGAAGATGGCTGTGCTAACGGCCTGGGGCTGGGAGCAGTCCAAGTTGGGATGTTTCCAGGGGGGTGATGACACTCCCACAATCTCAGGCTGGTATCCACTCTCCTGGCACTGTCAGCAGGTCCAGAATGTGGATCTGTTGGAATAATCTGCACCCCTGGACCTGGAGCGTGGCTATTCGTTGGGATGTCTCCTCCCATCCCCTCTGCCCGCTCGTTCAACACTGTCCCATTAGGTCCCCACTAGAGGGCCCCGTTTCACCTGCATCAGGACTCTCCGCATACCCAGCTGCTCTCACATCTTGTCTCTGGGCCTCGAGGCAGGGCTGTGGCAATGGAGACTCCTCCTCTCCCAGCAAGCGGACAGCAACACCCGGGGCCTAGAGGTAGAGGCTGCGCTGCAGTACTCCAATGTCTTCCATGGCGCCTCAGGTGCTCCCCCTCTCACCTGGCAGCCTCTGCAGCTACTGGTGAGCTCACCTCCTTGGACATTTTTCCAATAAAGGTTCTTGGACAAACTGGAACTGTCTGGTCAACCATACCACACGCCAAAGACAGGGTCCCACCTTGTGTCTCTGCTGACTTTCCAAGGGCTCCTTGAACCAATTGCAGCTTGACAGAGGCACACTGTTGTAAGGTCCCCCTTGGACCAGTGGAAACCAAGTCATGTCACCAGAGGGGGCCGACAACTTTTCCATCTTCATTGCCCACATTGGCAGCCCAGCTCCTCACCATGATGTTTTCAGACTCCTTGGGGAACATTGGGCTAACAGTCCCAACAGGACTGAGCATTGGGGACTAATGAAACTATGCAAATGGATCCCTCCACACCACACACTCCTGTTCTATGCGTCCCTATGACTGCATGTCCTGCCTTCGTTCTCCCTGGCATCTTGGTTCAGTCAGTCAAAGTTAGTAATAATTGTTTGGCATACAGGCGTTTGTATCCATGCTCAGTTACCACATAGAGAGGAGGATTCTGGAAATAAAACAAGGGATTGTGTATCCCCTAAACAGAGCACTGTAATTTGAGCTCTGTGGAGAAGGGGGAGGAGGGTTGTTTCCTATGCTTTCTTTACTTCCAAAGGGTATGGCTTTGGAAAGGAATGCCTGCTGACATTTTCAGCCATGATGGGGGAAGGACACAGACTCTAAAAGGGGCGCACATGAGATGTGATCCGGAGGGTGACAAGTCATATTCCAGGAAGACTATGGAGGACACTTGTTGTGCATTTTAAATGGTACTGCTCTGCTACAAGGAGTGAGGACAGAAATTCTCAAGGGACCCCAATGCAAACAAAGATCAAGAAGTCAGCTAGCCACACATCCGACCCTGGGTGACCTGAGGGGAGCCAAGCTCCGGTCGGCCCTGCAGCCTAATCCAAACAGCTGGCTAATCCGGAGGTAAGGCACCTTCCCTGCCAGGGCAAGGGGTTCCATGACACTTCTATCTCAAATTCTGGAAGCACCGTCAATTCCTGGGATAAGGGTGTTACCAATAATATACAGAGCACACGAGGGTGATACAAGCTAGGAGTGGCGAAGGAATGTCATTGATATGAAAATCCATCGGCGTGGGTTGAATCCCAGTCCCATCCAAGCCTGACTGTGTTCATTTGGGCAAGCAACTCTCCTCTGATCTAGAATCTCCTGTTCCGCAAAATGTGGCTAATAACCATGCTCTCCCCTTCAAAAGGTGGACAGCGTTTGGCACAAATAGCCCCGAGATCCTGTACAAGTTGGGTTCAATTTTGTCAACGGCAATAGGGCCATCCCAGCAGCCGCGTAGCCTCCCCGGGAGTTGGCAGGCTTCAAAGACAATGCCCTCAGGCTCGTCTACGTGCACCAAGGAGCGGTGAAGACGGCAGCTACAGGACGCCGAGTTGGCCGAAGGCTTTGGGCGGGGCTCGCTCGTGAGTCGGCAGGCCGCGACGCCATTGGTCGGGAGAAGATTCCGTCAGCTCTCCCGAGGGCCCGCCTCTCCCGCGGTGCGCCCAACCCCCCGCTAGCTCTCACTGCGCTTGCGCACGCCCGGTTCTCTTACGTGCTGACCTTGCGACATGTGTGGCGCTCGGGTCGCGCGTCAGCGTCCACGGCTGTCGCTGCGGCTGCGTGACGGGTTGTCCAGGTAACCGCCGGGAGTTGTCGCTGCCCTGTAGCCTCTGAGAGACGGGTGTGCGTCATGCAGCTGAAGCACCTGAGGACCCTGCTGAGCCCTCAGGTGAGGAGTTGGCGTGTCTGACTTCCCGCCCCCGCCCGCCTTGCGTGGCTCGAGCTGAAAAGTTGAATCCTGTGTAGCGCCTGCTAGGTGACAGGAGGCAAAGTTTGCAGCGGTGACGGGACCCTGCCCCGCCGAACTGATGCTGAGGAGGCTAGACGGACCACCGGCTGCTGTAGCCTTGGTTACATTCCATAAATAGCAATAGTCGGAGGGGCCCTGGGCTGAAACCTTTCGTTTGGAGGGTTAAGATGGAGAAGCCTCAGAGTCACAAGAGGCTGGGCCCCAGGGGAGGGTGGGTTTGCGGGGAGCGAGCAGACCAGAATCCACATCCTAGTCCAGCCAATCATGGAGCCCAGTGACCTGCTTATCTCGGGACTTCAGCCCCTGTCACACGCAAGTTCTCGAGCTGAGTGCCCCCCTTTGCCTAATGAGAGCAATGATAACAGCAACTTAAAGACTGTGAAATAGGAAAACACAAGAGCGTTGTCAAAGCTGAAAGGACCGTATAATACAAAGGCAGTAAGAATATCCTCCCTGACTGAAAGTTTGGTACACATCAGAACAGCACGATTACCGGGTGAGACAGTGATTGACAGAGTCAGAGATACCTGCGTTATGTTCTGGTGCTGTCCCTTGTGTCATGGAAGTTTGAAACCAAGTAAGTGGCTCAACGTTCGGGTGTCTCGGTTCCCTGCCCGTAGTGTCTACATCAGGTTCATGGACTAAGTAGAATAGGGCATATCAAGCAGTTATCGAAGCACCTTGTCTGCAGGGAGTGCTTGCTCAAGGTTAGCTATTGTTATGCTGTCCCCTACCTTGCAGCATTCTCCTGACAGTCCTGTGAGGTGTAGGGCGTAAGGGAAAGGAAAATTAACTGTGGGAATCAAGACTGCTCAACAGAAGTGGCATTGAACACCCTGGGAGACAGCAGGTGATGGATGGGTACTTGGGTGTACTTGGGTCCCTGCCACCCGTGTGGGAGGCCTGGGGAGACCTGGATGAAGTGCCAGGGTTTGAGCTTTGATCTGGCTGAGCCCTAGCTTGTGGTGATTGTCCCAGTAACAGAAGATCTTTACTTATCTCTGTCACTGCGTTTTGAATAAAAATGCTTTTCTAAGTTTGTGGAAATGGAATTAGAAGAAGCTTCTTTAAGTGTGGTGCTCAGATAATAGAAGGAAATGAGAATGACAGAGAATTGAACGATTGCTCAGAAAGCTGCCCTCTGAATGTATAATTTGAAAATCCCTTTTCCCTAATGGAAAAATTGGAAAAAGAATTCTTCCTCAGTCTCTCCAAATGAGATGATGCCATGACGCAAGCATGGCACAGTGCCCAGGCTTGGCATGGCTGTGAAGCAGGGTGATCCACAAAGGTTGGTGAGCCACCCTCTGCCCTCCCAGTCTCAGGTAATGAAGAGTTGGAGGAGAATAGTGGTAATGGTGTGGCTATTTCCTGGCTCTGGTTTGAATATTTTGGTGTCAAAGAGTCCTTTAACTTCTGATTTTGGAAATAGATGAGTCAAGAGTGAAAGGTGTTATAAGCCAGAGTTCTAGAGGGAGAGGAATTAACAACCAATGGAACAGAAGCTAGTAAGTTGTGTTTTTGTTTTGTTTTGTTTTGTTTTTTTTGTATTTCATGCAGCCAAGCCATTAGTGACAGAAACAGAGAAAGTTTAGAAGAGTGGATGATAAAAAGGACAAACAGAATAAGAATTGCCCACCAGAAAATGATCACTTTCTTTAAAAATTTATTTTATTTGTTTGAAAGGCAGAGTCAGAGAAGGAAGTAGAGAAACAGAAATCTTTCATCCATTTGTTCACTCCCCAACAGCCCAGGCAGACCCAGACAAAAGACAGGACCCAGGACCCAACAGCTTCTTCTAGGTCTCCCATATAGTTGCAGGGGCTAAAGGACTTGGACCATCCTCCACTGCTTTCCCAGGTACATTAGCAAGGAGCTGGATCAGGAGCAGAGCAGCCAGTACTGAAGCTGGCACCCATATGGGATATCTGTGTTGCAGTTAGTGGCTTTATCTGAAACACCAAAGCATCCGCCCCAAGATGATCACTTCTAAGATGATTTCTGTGAAGTGGATAGTGCAGAAGTAGCATTTTTCATTTTAAGTCTCAACTCTAATTATATACCCATTTTAGACCTTATGCTGTTTCTTTCTCATGGTCAATTTAGCCCAGAATTTCTTAGCCTCACTTCAGAAGTTTTTCCTGAACAGACCCAGACTGTTTTCCCTGCTTAACCTCCTCTAATAAAAAAATTAATTATTAGTTTCTTTGGAAGGTACAGTTACAGAGGAAAGTAGAGAGAGATCCTCCATCTATTGCTACATTCCCCAGTTGGCCACAGTAGCCAGCAGGGGTGGGGCCTGCCTGAAGTCAGGAGCATGGAACTACATCCCAGTCTCACAAGGGGGTGACAAGGACTCGAAGTTTTTGGACCATCTGCTGCTGCCTTCTCAGGTTTACTAACAGGGGGCTGGATGGGAAGTAGAGCAGTTGGAACTTGAGCCAGCACTCAATGGGATGCTGGTATCAAAGGCCGTGGCTTAACCAGCTGTGCCACAACACTGGTCTGGTCAATTCTTTTTACAAGGCAGTCTCAGTTAGACTTACTCTTTCTTAACAAGAACTTGCCTTTGCTTATGTTATTCACTACACCTCAAATAATTTCCCTCTCAACTGTATCCATTCATCAAAGTATAATTTACAGTCATTGAAGTCTAAAATTAGGGACCATTGCTGTGGCATGGCACATAAAACTGCCTCCCACAGTGCCAGCATCCTGTATGAGTGCTGGTTCATATCCTGGCTGCTCCACTTCTTTTTTTTTTTTTTTATAATTTATTTTTTGTTTTACATTTGGCTGCTCTACTTCTAACCCAGTTCCCTGCTTTTGGCCTAGGAAAGCAGCAGAAGATGGCTTAAGTCCTTGGGCTCTCGCACTCATGCAGGAAACCCAGAAAGAAGCTCCTGGCTCCTGGCTTCAGATCAACTCAGCTTCAGCCATTGCAGCCATTTGAGGAGTGAACCAGTAGATGGAAGATCTTCTGTCTCTCCTCTTCTCTCTGTAATATCTGCCTTTCAAGTAGAAATAAATATATCAGGCCCAGTGTGGTGGCCTAGCAGCTAAAGTCCTCTCCTTGAGCATGCCAGGATCCCGTATGGGTACCAGTTCTGATCCTGGCAGCCCGGCTTCCTATCTAGCTCCCTGCCTGGGAAAGTAGTTGAGGATGGC